TGTGTGGCAATTAAGTCGGCTGCCATATTGCCAGATATGGCGCGTGTCGGTTGCGGTTGCCGTTCGATTGCTGTTTAAAATTCATAAGTGAATACAGCTGACCAGCACGGCGTGTGCGTAATACTATATGTTACGAATCATTGATATTTAATTGGCCATCAGCAGCTATAAAACGGGTGAAGTAAATGTTTACTATATGACGCAAGCTACGGCAAGACAAGACATTAAGCATACGACATGTGAGCCAAGTAGTGAAGGGAGGAGCGCAGCAAACCTCATGTAGAACAAGCCAAATAACAACATCGTAAAGCAGCATCACGTAGGCCAAAAAAGGGGCAAATGACAATGTACAGTGGCAGCTGCCTATGAAGAAACTTTAGAATACATTTATGTCTCTGTCTTCAACATTTCCCACTTTATGATTGAGTTATAGTTAATTTATTCCATTATCTTCGACTTGGCATATCTAATATCTAATGTCTAAAGATTTTCATTGTCATTAAGTTAATGCTCAACTGTATTTGGAGCTGGGTAAGTCCGAGACTCTCTGTTTTGTAGGCTCATCAAATTGTAAATCTGTGTACGTGACCGCACGTTTGAATCTTTAGTCGCTCGTTTTTCCAATTTTGCCGTCGTTAAACAAGCTACAAAATGCATGTGCAGCCATCAAAGTTGAATCGAAACTCGAAGTCAGTCAAAGTCTGGCGCTTATTTAGCCATTACGCAGCCAGCCACCCAGTCATCCGCACACGGATTAGACTTATCAAGCATCAACTGCAGCACATCCGAAGTGGAATTCACTGTCTGAGACTAAGTGCTTTTTCATTAGAAATGTTTCCCATGCATTATCAGGCATTGTCTCTCACTGTCTCTCCCTCTCCTTCTAACTCTCTCTCTCTCTCTGTGTGCTTTTCTAGCTCTCCGCTAAAGTTTTTTCTTTGTTTTCCCCTCAGCGGAACAAAACACAAAACGAATTTATAATTGAAAAGTTTCTTCTTTTTGTGTATGTGAGTGAAATTAATTAGATTTCAAGGATAACAAAATTCTATTCATTTAACTTGACAAGATACTCCCTAGGTGTGCTGCGATGGGTAAGTTAAATGAAATTTCTGATTTAAATGCAAGCTAAAGCCGTCCATAAATCAAAGCTGGCATTCAAGTCTATGCAAATGTTGTGGCTGCACTTGTTACACAGTAGCTAATCCAGTTAAGACTTTATGCAAACAGCATCATATGTCACTAACTGAGCCAACTTCACTCTCTCTCCCTGCCCATATCACTTTTTCAAATGAAATTAGATGCTGTCGTTGGCAGAAGCCAGAGTCGACAGACGCTTTAATTAAATTAAACTGTAAAAGTTGGCACAACTCTACCGAAACACGCACCCACACACGCAGGCCCATAGACTGACTGACTGGCCACATGTGTGCTTTGAGCTTGATGCCACCTATGGCGCCTTCTGTGGCGGTGGCTGGTGCTGCTGCTGTTGCTGCTGCTGTTGCTCCTGTGTCAAAGTTCGCGTTGCGTGTGCGTAAATAATGCCTGTTGCCAAACGAATTGTGTGAAACTAAAGCAGCTAAAAATGTATAAGCCCATATAAGCATAATCCCTTGCATATACAGGGTGATGCTGAGTCAGCCAAAATTCAATTTCATTTGGCAGCTTATGCTGTCTAAGCTGCTGGCTATTTGCACCAGCTCAAATGCATTTTCACAGAGATTTTCTTTAATGTGGGAAAAATATCTAAAGAAATGGAGGGAAAGAGAGATAAAGTATTTATAGAGTAAGTTTAATTTAATTAAATTTTTAGAGTTAGTTTCGTTTAGAGATCATATTATTATTGGAGTTTGTCAAGACATCTCACCACATTTATCTGCTCATATGGAAAGCTAGAATTGATTATCTCGCAGACGAAGAAAGTCAAATAAATAAGCCAAACTTAAGCGTCGACAGCTTCGTTTAAAACTGTTTTTTAACAGAGTTGTATCTTAATCTGCTCAGCGTTTTTCAAGTAAAGCCTCAATGTATTTTTGTAACAACATCAAGCAATTTAAATAATCAAGATATGTGTAAATGCTGTATGAGCTGCAGGCCATCAAAGAGTGAGACATATGCTTCGCTGTAACCCTGTATGCTGTATATATTATAAAAAATTAGACAGGCAGCTGCTAAGACCATCAACAAGCCCCGATGCCTAATTTCATTAAATTCCCGAAACCTGTTGTCTTAAACAACAAAATAAAAAGGAAAAGAAAAAAATTAGGCTGACACGATGCCAGCGAAAGAATTCAATTTAAGTCAGCCGCAGGGTGGGATGTTTTGCTTTGCTGCAATTGACTGGCGGTGGTGAGGGCAAGGAGGGGATTAGCAGTGGGGCAAATGAAAATTGTGGTTGGTGACGTGTGGTTTACAGCGAAAAAACAGCCACACAATGGTTGAGTGGAGACAAGCGGCACATGAGGTAAAGGTTTCTCTTTTATCACAAGTGTGCGTGTGTGTGAGTTTGTGTGTGTATGTTTTGACAAGCGCCGTTCAGTTGCAGAAGAGAGCGCATACATGTGCGCATATTTTGTTATCCATTTGGTCCATAACATCTTAATGGCAGACGCGACATTAAAGTGCTTAAAAAGTCAACGCAACTTTTCCAATTTTTATTGAGCAAACATTGCGCACGTGTGTGTGTGTGTGTACTTAATATAAATATAAATGGCGTATGCGTGCGAGTCGTTGAAAAGCGCTTAAATATCGATATGGATCATTGCCTGCCAATGACAGTTGAATTTGTGCCAACTTTTTGGCAACAATACCTCCCTTCGACGTCAACTTCTCTGCATTTCTTTATTTTATTTTGCTTGTGCATAGCCAGCTCGTAGCTCTAACTTATCGCTGTGAAAGTCAACCCTAATCACATTTACCCCCCGACATCCAGCACAGCTTTCAACCTTGTCAAGCCTCGGCTAGCCCAGGCATTGCAACAATGCAGCAATGTCGACGTCGGCGTCTGCGTTGTGGCTGTGTGGTTAGGAGGCACTGGAAAATTTATTACTTTCTTTGGTGGCCAGCCAACCACCTTGGCTCCCTGCTCGTCTCTGTGCAAGTGCCGGAGGTTTGCTGAGTGATTTTCTTGGCCGCACTGTGTTAACTTGTTTGAGCAGCTCAAATGAGCAGAGAGTTTGTTAGTCGCCCACCAACTGTTGGCGGTTGCCTTCTGCTTGCTGCCCCCCAAGACCCACTCTTGGCCCCGTTTGACCGACGTTTGTTTACTCGACGGCTTTGCAGTCGGAATTTTTGGCTATTGTTGCAACCCACTAATTGGCGTTTGCCTTGTGGCTCCTCATCGATTCATAATTTCACAATTTTAATATTTAATCCCCAGCCAATGGTTGCAATTAAATAATTTAAGATAACATTTACTTAGGAGATATTCTCTTCAGCTGTTGAACTTTCAGCTTATAAATATTTCATTTGCAGTTGAGCGTAAACAGGCTTTGCTCTTGAACTTAACAATACATACAAATCTAAAGCTAATATCTTGAGTAATACAGAAAGCTGAATGGCTTTAATAGGACTTTGGAACTGGATTGGAGTAAGATTTGACGGCTTTAAGCTGAGCGGCAAAGAAACTGATGATGGCTAAGGCCATATCGATGCTGTTAAGGAAACTCTCTGTCTTATTGTAATTACATTTTCTATGCTTCGCAGCTCGAATAAATATTCGATTATTTTCATACATATTTGGGTATGCTTTAATTATTTATGTACAACAAAAATATGTAGATTGGGAAAGGAAACTCTGAACTTCGCCCGACATATGAGAGCTCAAGCTGAAGGCATTTTTAGTGATGGAAGCCACAAAATTGTATAATTCATTGCTGCACGTCTGTCACGTGGCACCTTGCTCTGCGTCAGCAATAAAAGCAATAAAGAAAAAAAGTAAAAATGTCGAGATGTGAATGTGACACTTTTGATTGAAAGCCAACACACACACTCACACATACACACGTTTATTTATATATGCATGTGAGGGTTAAGTGTGTGAACATTGTGTGTAGCTTAATCAAATTCATACTCATCATATATTATGGCATGTGGTAGATAGTATTCGAATACGCCAGATAATTGAAAACGTGTCAACAAGTCAAGCTTGTTCCACAAATAGAAAACGCTGAAAGCCCACGCAGCGTTTATGTCCTCGAACGAAACGTGTCATGAAGCGAAGCTGTATAGATTATCGAGCGAGTGCCCCATCAAGCTAAGCCTAAGCCTCAACTACCTCTGTCCGAAGTGGATTTCCATGTCACGCAAATGCCGGCGATCTTATTATATCATTTAAGTTACAGATATTGGCAGTAAATTTCCAAATGTTGACAAAGGCGCAACGAGTTGAAGTCTCAGCCCACCGCAAGCTTCATGAATCATATAATAGTGGAAGTCTTGAATCCACTTCTATATAGACTATGACACATCAAAAACAAACATCCATAATGAACATTTAGCGGGAATTTGAGGTTTGACTTCAAGGCGATAATTTTTGTGGACTTGGCTTGTAAATTCGCTTGTAATGAAATAACTAAACATATTTTTTGTAACTTTCAGCTAGGCAAGTAAAATAATATTAAAAAATATTAATTTGCCCTTTACTGTGGCTTAACTATAATTCGCAGCATTAATATTTGTTGTGTGTTCAGAGTTGACAAACTTAATACGTCACAGCAAAAGACCGTAGGTATGAGTTTTTTTTAGGTATTCTCTCGTTCGAATTTGCGCTTCGGTGCTAATGACAAATCAAACAATTGGCCGAGGCTCGCACCGAGCGTTATCGGTCGCAGATAAAACGGGTTACAGAGTCTTATTGGGAATGAGTTAGTAATGTTCAAGAGCACAAACAAAACAAAAAGAAAAACACGCAAATACGATAAGCGATCGCCTAGCAAATTGATAAGAAATAAAAGCGATCGGCAGCTCGGCGAGTGACTTTGCCTAGCAGTTGAGCACGATATTCGCAGAGAGACAGACGCGTGACAAATTAAGCCTGAAGACGTTGCTGAGTCAGAAACTATGAATGTGCTATGCTACTTGCTAGTCGCAGTGACGATCTCAGCCGGCAGACCTTATGAGAGCACGGCCAGCAATGACAGTGACGAGTCACAGTTCGATTACTGTCCGTCGGAGCAGCAGCTGTGCAGCGTAGACAGCCGCAATAATACACCCGTGCGCTGTGTGGAGAGGCTCTTCAGAGCGAACATAACTGGTCTGGTCTACTGCGATGCCCAACACTGTGAACCGGAAACGTTTAAACATGATTATATCATAAGCAACCACGACCAGAGCCCGCATGTTAACAGCTGGAAACGGGCCAGAGTTGGCGAGTCGGCCATCCTGCACGATGTCTGCCTGCTGCGGAACGGATTGCCCGTGACCCGCAAGTGTCAAGTGCATGGCATGCGTGCTCGCTGGGAGTCCCTTGACCAATGGCCGCCTGTTGTATGCATGCGAAGATTCAGAGAGCGCTCGATCAGCGTGGAGCTGAACAATCTGCACGACGATATACTCGAGGGCCGACGGCGTACCAACAACACCCAAGAACGTCGTCGCACTACGGCCCTAATTAGAGATATGTTCAAACAGCATGACAGAACCCTCCTGCCAGCTGACGTGCATGTGGTTGGCCAGGTTTTTGGTGAGCTCATGGAGCACGAGAAGGACGCGACGCTGAGCGCCGATCTGATCAGTATTTGCCGCGAAATCATGTCGAGCGATGCGCAAGTGCTGCAACTGTCGGCAGTGCTGAATGCGACCAACTCGCTGCTGAATAACTTCGAGGACTACATGGATGCACTGCCTCAACAGCTTGTGCCCAGAGAGAATTGCGGCAAAGTGGTGGTTCACGCGGCAAGTGACGCAGGAGAGGCAGCTGCGAGTGGCATGGAAATACTTAACAATGCCAATCTCGGCGTGCATGCCATGATGAGCAGCAACCTGAGCGTATTCTATGTGAATCCCGAGTGCGAGAGAATCACGGGCATAGCTATCTACTCAGCAGCAGCTCCCGATCGAAAGCCTGCTGTCAGCCAGTTTTGGTATCGCTTTCTCTATGCCAACGAGAGCTTGGAGAAGCTGCGCAGGGAGCAGGATCTGGAGACGGCCACATACGTGCCGGAGCAGCTTTGGAAGCTGTTGCAGCAGAGCGGCGCCACGTATGTGATACTCAAGGTGTATGCCCATGACGGGCTCTTCGTGGAGACTGCGCAACAGCGCAGCCGCAGGCCGCGCAGTAAAGTGTTATCCATATCGATTCCCGGCTGTGAGGGTAAGTCAATCGTTATATAGTGGTGTTCAGATATCGACAACTTGATCTGCTTTCAGGTGTGCAATTGCCCCAAACGCTTCCCTTTCTGCTACGCAACGAGAATCACCGGCAACCGGACACGCGGGCTGTGGCGACAGGCAGCGGCTGTGGCTATTGGAACTATCACACCTGGGCGAGCGACGGCATCACGACCAGCAGTGGAACGGATATGCTACGGGATCCAGTTATCGTCTGCCAAACGCGCCATCTAACCCAGTTCTCGTTTCTGGTGGGCGGCAGCTACCGCAGCAACGACCTGGGCGACGAGGTGCTCGTGACCCCAATCAACGAGCGCGTGCTGGACATCATATCCCTTGTGGGCTGCTGCCTGTCGCTCTTCGGTGTGCTGGGCATCTTTTTGACTGCGGCGCTGTTCAAGAGCTGGCGCAGTCAGGCCTCGACCAAAGTGCTGCTGCACCTCTGCCTGGCCATGATGCTACAAATGGTGCTCTTCGTGTTCATTAATACGGACAACCTTTCGGAGCAGCTGGTTGTCCACGGAGATACTGCACGCTGTGTGCTGCTCGGCGCTGCCATGCAGTATACCATCCTGGCGCTGTTCTGCTGGATGCTGATCATTGCCTTCCTGCAGTTCCAGCGCTATGTCACGGTGATTGGCATCGAGCGTCCGCGTCGTTACATCCTGAAGGCGGCCCTCGTGGCCTGGCTGTTGCCAATGGTGCCCACCTTGTTGGTGGCTTGCATTGATCCGGGGTCGTATGTGCCCACAGCCGAGCAATTGGCCACGGACACGGCCATTTGTTATCCATCCGGCTACGGACTAACCTTCGGCGTTGTGCTGCCCGTGACGTTGATTACGGTTGCCAACTTGGTGATCTTTGTGTATGTCTTCTACAGCATCTCGCATTCGCTCAGCCAGAGCATTCAGCGTGCGGAGCGCAAGTTGGTCAACAAGCAGATTCGGCTCTCGGTGCTGCTCTTCTTCTTGCTGGGGCTGTCCTGGATCTTTGGCATCTTCGCCTTCATGCAGGCGGGCGTGGCATTCTCGTATCTCTTCTGTCTGACAGCCACGCTGCAGGGCTTCGTCTTGTTCATCTATTTTGTGTTGCTCGACGAGCCCAATCGCCGGGCGTGGATAGGTCTACTCTGCCCAACCAAGATGAAAATAGATGTGCAGAAGCGCACGACAGAGCTGCAATCGATGACCACCAGCTCAACCAACTATTCCACCAGAACGCATTAGAAAGCTACTGAACCTAAGCTGAAACTATGCAACGAACAAACTTTAACTAGCTGCGTATTAATAATTTATTTTAACTAATATGTAATACTTACTTATTAAACATTATTTAAATTTTTTTTTTGGCTTTTTTATGCAAGCACTGGGAGCAAAGAGATAAATTATTAGGATAAATGCTCTGATTACAAAACTCTTCTAACATTCAGCAGAGCTTGAAAGCAGTAAGCATTTGGACAGCTCAGAATCCTGCTTAAAGCTAATTTTTCTAATCAGCTTAATTTCTAAATTTATATGCAGAATCTTAGATAGAATAGCATCCACAAGTTTAATTCACTTTTTCCTCAAATCATTATATTTGAAGATGAAATGAAGAGTTTAGAAAAGTTCATTCATTATTCATATGAGCTGCATAACATATACTCGCTGCTGAGCAGAATAGCAAATGCGCAAAAGGTTTGCCTGGCTGTGTGTGTGTGTGTTTGTGTGTGTAATTGAAGTAGAGAATGCTTTCTGTTTGATTAGCTGTGTGATAAATGTAGCGCTCGAAGCTGATTGATAGTCAGCGTTCGCATTGAAGAGGTAGAGCCACGGGCAGAGATGACAGCCACACACAGTAGTTGTTATTATAGATGTGAAAAAAGTTTTCTACATAGGCTCAGCTATAATAAGCTGAGTGAAACGTTCGATGGGCTTAGCTAACATCAAATCAAAGTTGAATAAAATGTGCTAAATATAAATAATTGTATCTAAAATTTGGAGGGCATGCAGAAATTGCTTTTTTAAAGAGTTTCAAATTTAATGTAAATCAAATCATTTCTAGATATTTTAGTCAACATTCGTCACTGTATATGTGCACTTATTTGTGGACTGGGCGGGCGACTGTGTGCATCCGGTGTTTGGCATGACATGAAAAGCACATTTCGGCAAAACTTTCAGTTCAGCTTTGACAAATGCACACAGCGTACTGGGCGTATCAAGGACGTGCTCATGTGGCGTATGAGCGATGCGTGAAAAATACGCTTTAAGAGCCAAGCTGCTGTAGATCAGAAAATCACATATACAGCTCTTGCACTGTAGTTATAATTATTTAAAGAATTTTCTTGAGTCCTGGAATGTCAAGAAACCCGACGGTAATGGCGAAGCAATAGCCGAGCCAAGTCAAGCGAAAACTGGCAACAAGTCAACATGGCAAAACAATGTCTTGATTGTGTGCATTAAAAGTCAACGACTCGGCAAATGAATTGCAGGCCAAACAAATTAAATTTGCTCGCATAGCAACAAACAACAAGAAACAAAGCAACAAAGTTTCGAAAGAGCTGAGCGCGACCTTCGTCTGTGCACCCAATCTACTGTCATCTAATTACATTTCATTTTGATGGCTAACGCTGCGTATGAGCTATTTTGATGACATGCTTCCATTTTTATGTTTCACCCAAAAAATCTGCGCTCAGCTCTGCTCCAGTTCAGGTTGCGTCTTTCACCCGACTGAACTCTGCTCGTGGCTCACATTCATTTAGCTAATTGCTCGATTTATATGCTGCCCTTTGATTGACTTTTATGGAACTGCAATAGTCGAATAATTTTAATTGTATCTGTTTTAGGGCAGGCCACACAAATTGATTTTGCCCGCTGGTCATCAGTTTTAAATCTAATAAAAATTTGGAAAATTCTTCTCTCATGTCAGTTGATGCTGATGTTCGTTCACCAATTAAAATTGTAATTAAAATATATATTTTTTATATATATATTTTTTATATATATTTTTACATGTAAAATTTCAGGTTTTCTCGTTAAGCAATTAAATTGACATAAAAATATATACATTTCCAATTATTTCATATTCATGGGCAACGATTTACTTGTCTAAGCTGCTCAGGTTTCGGATTCTAGCGCGTACCGAGGGCAGGACAGCACGACAACGTATTTAATTGCACCTTGGAGCTCAGGTGTGCTCGCTCGCGTATGAAAATATGCCACTTGGCCGCAAGATTGGCCTTTCGCCTGATGCTGCTGCTGCTGCTTCTGCTGCTGCTATCAAAACTGATTACAATTACAAATTTGTGAAGAGCAAAAGCTGAAGAGAAAATATTAGAGTCAAGCTACGCATGTGCGGCGCTCTCGTGGCATGCCAGATGCCCCGCCTGCCAGCTCTTACGTTAAACGTAAGGCGTTGCGTATACGTTGTGTGGGCCCATTCAACAGTCGACGTCGGCCAGCACGTTGGAACGGTACTCAAGCGGAAGTGCGAGCCTCAAATAACAAATTTAGGAAACAGCTCGATTAGGGTTAACAGGCAGCATCTTATAGCGTCTGCCCTCTGCTGTCGAGCAGCGCCTGATCTAGCTTCAGAGGCCATCATTTTTGGCAGACATGGGCTCTAATCGCTCTTCTAGCAGCGCCATAAATTACTTTAGACGTGCTTTTAATATGCTCGTGGATACATATTCATAAAAGCGCTATTAAAGCAGACGAGGTGCCCAGCCAGCTGTTGAATTAATTAAAAGCCAAAGCCCAGTCAAAATAAATGACTTGCGAGATTTATGCTTAAGGTCAGCAGCAGGAATTCGCATAAAAATATTTATTTAACACCCACCACGCGCTGACAAATGGCGGCGGTTGTTACCTTCAAGATATTTTGCGCCGCGTTAGAGGCTGAGCAAAAAAGAAACTCAGCGAGCTGAGCACAGCCAAAAATAGCCGAGGGACTCGTTTAATTGCTTCAAATAGAAGCGCGTGCAACACCTATTTGCACACCTGCCCGCCAAAAGGTCAGCGGCAACACGCAATGCCCAGCTCGATATAAACAAAATGCTATTAATGGCTGCCATGCACGTGAGGCGCTTTATATTGAAATATATGTGTTAATTCTATATTAGACAATATTGATTTTGGCTATGGAGCTTAGGGCTGATTATGTTTATGGGCTAGCGGCTTGAGTGCATTGAAATGGCGAATAACTTTGAATTCCTATGTAAACTGTATAGAATATATGGACTCTAGCAATCAGTTGTCGAACTGAGAGTCCATGGCGTAAGCTTACTCTGTTAGCAAAGAACTGTATGAGATTAAATTACATTGTCATATTTAACTATTTACTTACTCTCTTGGTGGTATAGTAGCATAGTAGCAGAATATAGTAGTAATATATAAAGTAGTATTCTAAATAGCAATAGGATATATAGTAGTAGTCAAAAAAGTAGGTGGATATAAGTAAGATATGCAGTAGAAGTATACATAGTAGTAGAATATACAGGAGTAGTAGTAAGTAGTAGCAGGTAGTAGTATGTAAAGTAGTATAACACAGTAGTAGTAAATAAAGTAGTAGCATTTATAGTAGTAGAATTAATAATACATAATACTACTTCCATATATCCCAATAATATTTTGTACTGCTTCCACATTTCCTACTACTAATTACATTTCTTTCACATATTCTCCAAATATATATATACTATTCAGTAGTAGGATATCCAGAACTAGGATATATAGTAACAGTATAAAGTGGTTTATATAGTATTAGCACAGATAGTAGTATCAAATAATATTAGGATGTATGAAAGTAGTATATATACTGGTAGTATAAAGTAGTAGGATTTATGGTAGTAGTAGATATAGTAGTAACATATATAGTAGTAGTACAAATAGTATTAGGATATGTGGAAGCAGTACATAAACTAGTAGTATAATTTATCCTAGTAGTATATAGTATATAGTATTTATATAGTATAGTATATAGTACTTGTATATATAGTAACAGTATATAGCAAAAGCTTTAGTACTATATATAGTAGTAGTATAAATAATGAAAACAAACTTAAAATATATTCAAGTAAATGCAAAAATCACTTGCTTTTCTATTAGTTGAGAACTTTGCAGTTTAATAGAATTTTCTTGTTCAAATCAAGGTTTAAGGGTTGCGGTTTTGATGAGATAATTTATTTAATTTATTACCACGTTTCCTTTAGCTGCGTTCAAGAATTTCCTTTCAGCTTAATTCCAAAGAGGCTGTCACGTGTAATTTGTGGTTTCTGTGGTGACTTTCATTTGAGTGCGACTCGCAAAAACGTCAGCCAGCCAGCCAGATTGACAGATGTGTAGGTAAATGAAGTAATATGGGGCAGACGCACACCCACACACGCACACACACATCGAAGCATACTAACGCACACACATTAGTCAGACAGACGTCGGCTGAAGGACGCTGTGGGTAATTAAGCGCAGTGCTTAAGCCTGATGAGGTTTTCAACGCGAGATAAATACTTGCTTATTACAAAAACACGAGCAAAGTCCTCCTCCTTCTTCTAGTCTTGTCTGCTGTCTGCCTATCTCGCTGTCTGTCTGTCAGCCTGTCAGCGCCATTCAGAGTGGAACTCGTCGTGAGTATTATAATTTCGAGTTATTTGCTGAAGTACGAGCATAATATTAATTTGATTACACTCCAGTTGCCAGCAGCCAGAGCCGGCCAACTTATGCAGCATACTTTTATGTGCCACTGTTGAAATTACGACTGCCCGAAATGAGTTGGTGCCCCACCCCACCAGACGCGAGCCTCTTGTTTCATGATGTCTATATTTAAGCTGGCTTGTTAGTGTGTTATACATCTGGCGCAGTCAACAGCTTGGGCAGGCAAACTTAACTTTACTTAATTCTGTTTAAAGTGCATTCGACAATTGCTTTCAAGCTTAAATTGCCATTTAATTTGAAATTTATTGTGCCTTCTCTGCTATGCACTTGATCTATCTGGCAACAAATGCTAACAACATAATTGAAATGCCAGCAAGGCTTCACCCACAATTGTCTACGCACAATGAATTCTTTCGACTACATTGTCCTCTCTGCAAAGTCTTTTAGCTTTTCATTAAATTATTTTGTTTAGCTACAAAGTGAATGAAAAACTGTAGAGTCTCAGATAATGAATGTCTTTATACATAAATGGAAATTAAATGACGACGATTTGTATACCAATTGGCATTTAATACACGATTTATACACTCTATTATCTTCTATAGTAAAAGCCATTTTTTTATATATAATTTATCACTGAATATTC